GTTTCAGGTGCTGATCATTGAGCAATGAATTAAACAAAATCCTTGCTCTTTTAAATCTTACATTCTTGTGAGGGGAGACATGTCCAGAAAAATTGTCCAGAACTTGTAAATGGGCAGAAGAGGATTACTGGGTGCTCTTTCATTCTAGTGCTGTGGTTTACATTTGATTGACTTTATATTGACTAGGCCGTCTTGCAATTTTGTTGGGGTAGAGGTTAACTTGTAGAAAACTGATGGCAAATGCAAATAATTCTTGTCTGAGAGCAATGCAAATGACTCCTGTGCATAGTAATGCAAATGAATTTTGTCCAGTAAAGATAAAATTGATTTTCATCTGGGAGAAGAGATAATCCCAAACATTACAGCTTATTACCTAATAAAATACTGTTTTTGCAAGTATTAGCAAGTTTATTTCAGCATTCCTTCGGCTGATAATCTAAATCTCTAAAACTCAAATTCTCATCTGAATAAGTCTTACCAACTTACTGGTTCCCTCATTATTTAGGATAGTAATGGATGAGTGGTTTATGATGATGAATAAAATCTTCGGGATGTGTTCATTATATATTTATATAAGCATTACATTGGTTTTTACCCCTCTCCTTTTTTTGAGGAGGATTAGCCCTGAGCTAACATCTGCTACCAATCCTCCTCTTTTTGCTGAGGAAGACTGGCCCTGAGCTAACATCCATGCCCATCTTTCTCTACTTTATACGTGAGATGCCTACCACGGCACAGCTTGACAAGTGGTGCCATGTCCGCACCCGGCATCTGAACCAGCAACCCCCGCCTCATAAGCGGAAGGTGGGAACTTCACCGCTGCACCACCAGGCCACCCCCTAGCATTATGTTTCTAACCTTCTGAAAATTACAATTTAGCAGACTATAAGAAAATAAATACATGTCAGGTGGTAATAAATTATAAGAATAAAAGCAGAGTAAGAGGACAGCTATTAACGGTGCTGTGCGGCCCAATCAGTCAACCAATCTTGTAATCCTCTCTTAATCGTAAGTGGAATCCATCCTCTTCTGTCCAGCTTCACTGCCACCACACTAATCCAAATCATCATCTTTTCTCACCTGATCTCCCTGCCTTACTCCTACCTACTCCTATCATCGGCTGTCAAGATGATCATTTTTAAAAACACTCATCTGCACATGTCCCTCCTCTCCACTGGCTCCTTGGTAGACTGAAGTTTTGTGTGGGCTAAAACTTACACAATTCGGGAGGCCTTCTTTAAGAAAAATAATATAAAATTAGGTACAGGGCCTTAAAGGGGGCAGTGCAAATGACACATCCTTAGCTTCACTCTAAATCCGTCCCTACCCACAAGTCTAGCCTAGTTTTTGTTGTTGTTGTTGTTTTTTAAAGATTTCATTTTTCCTTTTTCTCCCAAAGCCCCCCGAGTACATAGTTGTCTATTCCAGTTACAGGTCCTCCTAGTTGTGGCACGTGGGATGCCGCCTCAGGGTGGCCTGATGAGCGGTGCCACGTCCGCGCCCAGGATCCGAACCGGGGAAACCCTGGGCCACCCAAGCAGACCGCGCCAACTTAACCACTCGGCCACGGGCAGCCCCCTAGCCCGGCTTTTATCTACCTTAGGATCTTGTCTCCGCGCAACTTCTGCCTAGAAGGCCCTTCCTGCCCCTTTTTAGTTAACTCTTTAAGTATTCAACTGCCAGCTCCCAGTCCTCCCTGATCCCCCAACTGGGTTAGGGACCTTTATGGAGTCTCTCCCAATGCTCCAAGCATCCAGGCGAAACCACCATTAGGTGCGAACGGTTGCTCCTTTCCAGCGCTCTCAAAGATCTCTGGCGGGGCGGCGTTTGCACCGGGGATGTAAAGGTGGGCGGAGCCTCGGGAGACAACAGTAATTCCCTCCTCTTTTCGTCCAGAGTGGCGCGCATCATCTCTACGGAACCCGCGAGTCTCGGGTTGCGGTTCCGGTCGGAATTACCCGGCTGCGCACGCAGACATGGCTGCGCTGGTAGTGAGAGGTGTTCGGGACGTGCTGAAGCGTGCAGACTTCGCGACCGTCCCGCGGAGACATCGACATAAGAAGAAATGGGTAAGGTCCAGCCGGGCCCAGGAGGGAACAGTGATAGCGCCTCTTGCCGCCACCTCTCGGGAAACCTCTCCAGGCCTTCCGCTGCCAGCCGGCTCAGTTAGGTTCGCTACTCCTCTGGAACGTCTTCGGCCTCTTGTCCCGCCCCTTGGGAGCGTCACTAGGCTCCTTCCTCTCACATCTGTTACGTCATCGCCTCTGTCCGCCCTTTTGTTTCGTCGCGCGTCTTCGGCTCTCGCTCCTGTTTCGTCCGCAGCCTCCTGGCTCCGCCCCTCTAAGTTACGTCATCACCTTCGCCCTCATTCTTTCAGTTATGTCACCGCCTCTTGCTCCCTGGCTCGCGGTTACCTTCTCCTGGGCCGCCACTGCCCCTTCCCCTTCCCTTCCCCCCCTCCCCCGCCCCCCTTCTTTCCTACCCCGCCCCCATCCCCACCTCACCCACTATGACCTCTTCTCCTCCTTTCCTCCGAGAACTTCGAGCCCGGCCGCCCTCACTCTTCGAAAAATGTCGGAGCGACTTCCCCTTCCTTCCTGGGTCTCCGCCGCCCTCCAGGAAAGGAGTCAACTCCCTCACCCTCGAGCTGCCTTTGGTGCCCAGGAAAGGTTACAGTGACCACCCTGCCCTTACTCCCGGCCTCTCCCCAAACCCTGGCAAAAGGTGCAGCGACTCCTCTCACCCCTTGGGCTTTCCCCCGTGCTCCAGACAGCCTTTCTCTGGCCCCGCCTGTTGCCCGGGAATTTCTTCCGTAACCGGCACGCCCCCCTCCCTACCCCGACCGATTCCCTCCCCACCCCCACCACCCCCGTCCCCACCCCCACAGCCGCCCCTGCGTCCGGGGAGATGTTCTTTTGAACCCTCTTCTCCGCTCCTCGGAAGGCCCTGCTGCCCTGAGCCTATCCTCCCGGGCTCGTCCCCTCTGAGCCCTTGTTTTGACCGGTTCAGCCTTCTGCAGTCACCCCCTCTTTGTCCCCGGAGTCCTTGTTGCGGCTGGATCAGTTCCCCGAGAACACCGTGTCCCTGTCCCCGAAGCCCGTACATTGACCAGCAGACGTACATCTGTTACTGTGGTGGATACCCTTTAGCCCTGGTAACCAGCTCGGTGACCTCCCCTCCTCTAACTCATCGGCCCCCAGGAACCAGCCCAGTGACCTCTCCTCCCCTCACTTGTGTGCCTTTGGAAACTGGCCCCATGATTTCACCACCTGTCACTCATCAGCACCCAGCAAACAGCCTGGGGACCTCCCCTCCGCTCGCTCATATAACTTTGGAAACTCGTCCCGTGATTTCACCTCTTTTCGTTCGTGAGCCCCCCAGAGCTGGTACCGTGATTTCCCCTTCCATCACTCTTGGATCCCAGGGAACTTGCCCCATGATTTCACCTCCTCTTACTCATAGGCCATTGGGAACTGGCCTCGTGATTTCACCTCCTCTTGCTCACCGGCCCATGGAAACTAGAGCTATAATTTCCCCACCCCTTTCTCACAGGGTTTTGGAAACTGGGATCATGATTTCCCCTCCACTCTCTCCCTGGTCCTCAGGGAGAAGTTATAGTGACCCTCCTCTTTCCCAAGCATCTTCCCCACCAACGGGCAGCTTTTACCATGGCCACCTTAAGCCTCCAGACTCTTGTGAACCGAAACCACAGCTTGACTCGCCCTGTGGGAAAAATTATTGTGGCGCCCCACTTTCTTCTCAGGCAGGCACATCTGGCTGTCCCAGCTCACCTCCAGAGGGCTCTCATCACTGTTCCCATCTTCCCCCAGAGACCCACATACCTGCCCCTGGGAGCCCTTGTGGTGCCATCCGCCTGCCTCCTGGGAGTACTGGTTCTCCTTGCTCACCCCAGTCCCAGGCTTCCAGGAAGCCTTGCTTTGGGTCCACGTTCTCCTGGGAGACTGCTGGGAGCCCTTACCTCTTCGTAACCCCAGTCGCCATGATTTCTGGTCCTCCCTGTCCCCAGGAACCACCTCTTCCCCTGTCCTCCCCCTGTCCTTGTTCTGCCTTCTCTTTTCCTTCACCCCTGGGCAACCAGTTGATATCTCCACCTCAGTCACCCCCCAGCAGAAGCTATAATGAACCTCCTCTCCCTACCCCAGCTTGCCCCCAAGTGAAGTCCCCGAAATCTTCAGAGTTAAGGCAGCCACGTGCTCCCCACAGAAGTCGCTCCCTGGTCACCCCTCTCCAGCAAACTCCTCCTGATGAGCCCACGCCCCCTAAGGCCAGCACCTCTCCTCCACCTCCCTCCTGCTCGTCTGATCTCTCAGGTGCTTCTTGTATAGTGACATCCGTGACAACTTGCTCAAATTCCTGCCCTAAAGAACTTCCCCAAGGGACTGCCGTACCTACTGTGGTCCCTACAATCCTCAAAACTGTTATCCCCACTTCTCTTCCCCCCCGCCTTGCTTGTGATCCTGTCCCACCCAATAGTTGTGCTCAGAGCAGCCCCCGTGGACCTCTCCTAAGGTCCCCCTGCAGTACCCATGTATATTCTGTGATTCCTCCCACCCCCAATCCCTGCCCACTCTCTGATTCCCTCAGTCAATCCACAGGCCCCCCTCAGTGTCATAGGCAGCCCATGGTGCCCCACTGTGGCCCTCCCAGGGGCCCACCACAACCCCGTCGCCAGAGTGTGGCACCTCCTTGTTCTACCCACATCTATTCTTGTATCCCTTTGAGAACACCCTTTGACCTCCAAAGTTTACCCATTGCCCCCCGAGCCCGGGGCCGCCCTGATGCTATGCCCTGTGGCCTCCATGTCTACTCTGTGGCTTCTCGAGGCTCTTGCAAAGAATCTCCCCAGACTCCCTACAGCTGTCCTTTGCCTTCATCCAAGAGTTCCAGCTGTAGTTCAACTATTATTATTAATGAATGCCAGAGTAGTGACAGCCAGAGAAAGAATACCCACGAAAGCAGAAGTCGGAGCCCAGGTGAGAGTCCCCACCGCTGTAGCAGAAGTGAGAGTCAAAGCAAGAGTTTCCATCCTAGTAGAAGTCACAACCGGAGCAAGAGTCCCTCTGAAAACGAAAATTGGAGCCAGAGTGACTCTACCCACCAAAGTAGAAATCAGGATCAGAATGAGAGTTTTCCACCTAGAGGAAATCGGGGCCACAGTAGCAAAAGTCGGAGCCGAAGCAACAGTCCTCACCATGTCAGAAGTCGGGGCCAGAGCAAGAGAGCCCGTCATAAAGGAAGTCGGAGTCGAAGTGGGAGTCACAGCGGTCACAGACATCATGGTCGGAGCAAGAGCCCCCGCCATAGCAAGAAATGATGATCAGAGCGAGAGAGTTCTGACCAAACCAAAAATCCAGGCCAGAGCAAAATTCGGACAGTAACAAGGTTGCCAGCCACAGCAGGTGTTCCAGCTGTGGCAACTAGGGCCAGCTTGTGGACTTCTCAGCTGAAGTCTTAATTTTCCTTTTAATCTACTTTTATGCTCTTCAAACCTGACTCATGTCCCTCACTGCTACCCCCCATAGCAGTCGTCCTAGAAGTCCCCATTTTGGTTCACACCTCAAGGTTTCTGTGTGCTCTCCTTATCCCACCTTCCTGGGGTCTGGGAACTCTCCCAAAATGACCCTTAATCCTGTGATTCTGAGCATTATGGTGTCAGTCACTGCATGATTGTAGGTAAGTTACCCTCATCTCTCCATCAAATATGGAAGGTTGAAATTTTTTGTGTCCCACTGAGCTATCTGTTGTGATGCTCACATAAGCTAGGAGATGTGAAAGTGCTTTGAGAAATGGAAGGACTGTTCAGAGAGAAAGCGTCTTTTGTTTTTAAGCCTGAAGCTTCCCCCAGAGCCTCTGTACTTTCTTCCAACCTGCTGTAGACTCCCCTCAAGAATCCTCTCCTGAGCTCCCATTCTTTTAAGTTCCTCTTACTCCAAGGCCTCAAGGAGTGTCCCCTTTCTTGGTGACCCCCACATGCTACTGTGAGAGGTACAGCTTCCTTTCTCTCACAAACCTGAGATAGAAAGGGCAGCTCTCCGCTATTCTTTCCCACACTTCTCTTCTCAGGCAGGATGCAAAGGCAGGAGTGAGCACTAGCTGGATCCACATTTGCCCCAGGGTTCTGAGGTATTGGTGGGGTCAGGAAGTAGGGGGTAGAGGCAAGACTGGAAGATCAATAATTCTGTTCTTTCCCTTTTAGGCTGCCACAGAGCCCAAATTTCCTGCCACTCGACTGGCTCTGCAGAATTTTGACATGACCTACAGTGTGCAGTTTGAAGATCTTTGGCCATCAATCCGGGTCAGTCTCCTCTCAGAGCAGAAGTATGGTGCATTGGTCAATAACTTTGCTGCCTGGGATCATGTGAGTGCTGAGCTGGAGCAACTGAGTGCCCGGGATTTTGTGAATGAAGCCATCTCCCACAGGGAACGGGAGCCTGAGAGTGGCCAGACTGCAGTTCCATCCCCAGCCTCCTTGGCCTGCAGTCCCAACCTTCGATGCTTCACTTTCCCCAGAGGGGATGTCAGCCGTTTCCCTCCTGCCAGGTAGGGTGTGAAGCCATGGTTGGGGCTGTCCTGCGCATCTGCTGGAAGTAGACGGGAAGTGACCCAGCCCCTGCCCTCTTTAATAAGGATCATAGTATTGCTAATATTTACTGAGTACTTATACATGCTAGGCATTTTTCTAAGTGCTGTATATATGTTATGTCCTTTTGTTCTGTCAACAACCCTCTGAGGTAGGTAATATTGTTCCTCTTTTACATTTGAGGAAACTGAGGTGCAGAGAAATTAAGGTAGTTATGTTGCCGAACCAGAAGTGGGTTCACTCACCGGTCGCACAGCAAGCCAATCTCTGACACCAGGTGTAGTGGAAGAAAGTAGGAATTTTATTGCAAAGCGCTGAGCAAGGAGAACAGGCAGCTAACGCTGTAGTTCAAAACTCCCCAAAAAGCTATAAACAAGGGTTTTTATTTGGTGTTTTAGGTAGGGGAGGGGGAGCATGTGGCCTTGGGAGCTAAAGTTTTAAGAATCCTCTGCACAGGTGCGAATGCCTTTCATGTTTCTTCATGGGTTGCATGTGCAAATTTGGGGGGGGTTCTATGTGTTGCATGTGATGGACTTTTAGTGTGTGACATCTAAAATTTACAGTCCGTCATTTTAGCTTTTCTCAGTGCACCTGTGCGATGTTTAGTTGCAGGGGAGCTGCAGCAAGCTGCTCTCTTATCATTGGTCTTCCTGTTGTTCTGTAAAACAAGCTCAGAAACTTTGGTTATTTTGTCTCCCACATCAACTTTGTGGGTACAGGCATGGTTTCACCCTAAATCAGGGAAAGTTATACTCCTTTGTTCTCAGTTTCACTTACTTTAGGTCCCTTAGATAGTAAGTGGTCCAGTTAATGTTTAGACCCAGGCGGTCTAACTCCAGAACCTGTGCTTTGAACCTGTTGTGCTCCACTGCCTCGCATAGAAAACAACCACCTCTTCCTTGAGCACTTACTGCACCCTCTCCAGTTAAAATGTGTGTGATTTACAACTGCTTTCTCAGTTTGCTCTTGTAGCCACCCATCAAAGTGAGTAGGTTTGGTACCAAAGAAGTGGGACTTGCCTAGGAAATGGGGCTTCCCCGGGGGCACAGAGTTAGTAACAGATGAGGTGTGCGGAGAGGGAAGGAGAACTTCTGGTCTTCTGATCCATTCCTCGAATGTACATGAAGTTGAATGAAAAAAAAGACTCCTTAAGGCCAGCCAGTGGCCTAGTGGTTAAATACAGCGCTTCAGTGGCCCGGGCCCGGTTCCCAGGTGCAGACCTAGACCACTCATCTGTCAGTGGCCATGCTGTGATGACGGCCCACATACAAAAAGAGGAAGATTAGCAGCGGATATTAGCTCAGATGAATCTTCCTCAAAAAAAAAAAAGGAGACTCTGTAATCAAATGCTAAATTGTGCTTTAGAAATTGAGAAAAGGAGAGCTCATTGTTAATGTGGGAATTGATTTTTGCAGGATTAGTTCATTCATTCAACAAGTATTTATTGTCTACCAAATGCCAGGCATTCTCAAGTGCCTGGGTTATGGGTGTGCAAACCCTCTTTTTTTATTTTTTGAGGAAGATTAGCCCTGAGCTAACTGCTGCCAATCCTCCTCTTTTTGCTGAGGAAGACTGGCCCTGAGCTAACATCCATGCCCATCTTCCTCTACTTTCTATGTGGGACGCCTGCCTCAGCATGGCGTGCCAAGCAGTGCCATGTCTGCACTTGGGATCCAAACTGGCCAACCCCAGGCTGCTGAAGCAGAACGTGCGCACTTAACCGCTGTACCACCAGGCTGGCCCCATGTACAAACCCTCTTGGAGCTTCCAGTCTAGTGAGGAAGACAACTATTAAAAAACTATTTGTGATTGTGATTAACTGCTACAAAGGAAAAGTACAAGATGCTGTGAAGTCTTAAACAGAAATGTGCCGCATCATGTTTCAGTCAATGATGGACTGCATATACATTGGTGATCCCAAAGACTGGTGCCGTATAGACTAGGTGTGTCGTAGGCTACACTATCTAAATTTGTGTAAGTACACTCTATGATGTTCACACAATGACGAAATCGCCTAATGACGCATTTCTCAGAATATATCCCGTCGTTAAGCGACACATGACTATTAGGAGACCTAACCCGGTCTTTTCTGAGGAAGTGAAATGTAAGCTAAGACCTGAAAACTGAGTATGAATTAAAGCTGATGGCAGGGGATTGGGATGGGGGTGAGAGGCTAAATATGAGGCTACAGAAGCAGGCAGGAGCCAGATTATGAAGGTCTTATAGGCTATAGGGGATTTTGGACTTTTTCTCTAAAAGAAAGAGGGAGCCATGAAAAGTTCTAACCCGGGGAATGACATGACCAGATTTGGATTTTTTAAATATCATTGTAGGGGCCGGCTAGGTGACATAGTGGTTGAGTTTGCACTCTCCACTTCAGCAGCCTGGGGTTCACGGATTTGGATCCAGGGTGTGGACCTACAGACCACTCATTAAGCCATGCTGGGGCAGTATCCCACATACAAAATAGAGGAAGAGTGGCACAGATGTTGGCTCAGCAACAATCTTCTTCAAGCAAAAAGAGGAAGATTGGCAACAGATGTTAGCTCAGGGCCAATCTTCCTCACCAAAATAATAAAATAAAAGAATAAATAAAACAAATATCATGCTAGCTGCTGTGTGGAAAACAGATTGGAGAGGGGCAAGGCTAGAAATGGGGATGTAAAGTAGGAGGCTTTGCAATAATCCTAGCTACTAGCTTGAGGAAAGGCTGTATGCTTCAGAGAAGTAAGAGACAAGGCTGGAAAAGTGTATGGGGGGCTATGTGTGGGAGTGCCAGGAGCTTGCAGTTTGGGGAAAAGGAATTTTTCTGGTGGCCCAGGGTTGCTTATAAATGGCTGGAATTGCCAGGGCTGGGTGGCTTCAGACCATGTGCCTTTTACTACCTATTGCTCTAAGTTGCCAAGATCTGTTCTAGGGAACCACTGAAAAGAGTTTCTGAGCAGGGGAAAGGCAATAACGCACAGTAGTTATAAGCATGGGCTTTGGAGTCAGGAAAATCTAGATTGGGATCCTGCTTGCTTCACTTATTAGACTTGGCATTGGGTAACTGAGACTTGGTGTCCTTCTCTGGAAAATAATGATAGTAATAGCTGACACTGTAGCTCACTATGTGCCAGCTACTGTTCTAAGCATTTGACTTCTGTTAATTCCTTTCTCACGGTAGTTGTATCTAGTGGGTACTCATTACACGTGAAGAAACTGAGGCACAGAGAAGTTGAGTAATTTGTTGAAGGTCACACAACTAAAGAGCAACTGGGCTGGATTTTGAGATCCATGCAGTCTGGCTCTGGAATCCGGGTTCTCCTGCCTCGTAGGGTTGTGGTCAGGATTACACGAAATGATGCATATTAAACACCTACTATAGTACCACAATATAGCACTCATAAATAAATCTCTTGCTATTGATGTTATTTTCATCAAAGTTATGCTTCAGGGGAGCTGGCCCGGTGGCGCAGTGGTTAAATGCATAAGTTCTGCTTTGGCTACCTGGGGTTTGCCAGTTTGGATCCCAGGTGCAGATATGGCACCGCCTGTGCTGTGGTAGGCATCCCACATATAAAGTAGAGGAAGATGGACACAGCTCTGGGCCAGTCTTCCTCAGCAAAAAGAGGAGGATTGGCAACAGGTGTTAGCTCAGGGCTAATCTTCCTCAAAAAGAAAAAAAAGTTATGCTTCAGGAAGATCATTTTAGTTGTGGGGGGTGGGTAGAGGAGAGAGATTGGGCAAGATTGGAGGTCAGTTTGGAAGCACTGGCTTTATGCAGAACCTTGGGGTAAGAACCATGTGGTTTCCTACGTTGCCTGAGGGGCTTGGCTCCTACTCAGGGAGGATGCCCTGAGAGTAGCAGGGAAAGCAACCCCTGTATCTTTGGGTTTTTCCTTCTTGTCTTGATGGACTCCTTATAAATCAAGGAATCTTAACCTTTCAGGGTTAAGATTCAGGGTATTCAGGGAGTCCAGGAACCTCTTGGAATTGTCTGAAAACTTGTTGTACTCTTTTTTTTTTGGAAAGAGGGACTGTAGCTTTCAGCAGATTCTCAAAACTGTCTGTGAACTGAAAAAATATTAAGGAGTGATGCTTCCAAAAGGAAGGAACTTGATGAGAATGGATTTTGTGGGCCAGTGGTGATGTGATAGCAATTCTCAGATTTCTCAGTTTTCTTCTCGTTCTCCTTTGTGAGACATGAAGCACACAATTTGGCAGACAATCCAAGTGTAATTGGACTTTGAAAATATCCTATCACAGCCTGAGCCCATTTGTGAATCCTGGAGGTGTCACAACCTTACTATTGGGGATTGTAGCTCTTGTAGCTGACCCTCAGTGGTTTCTGTCTCCTTGAGTCTGTCCCCAGTGGCTTCCTGCTGAGTTGTGTCTCAGCCTGGGGAATGGCTCTACTACCAGTTGCCCTTTGTCAACTGGCCTGGGAGTGAGGAGTCCATCTGTGACCATTAGGTTGTTGTCTGTTGTTCCTCTCTCTCTACCCACACCATTGCTGCCTCTCTTCATGCCTCATTGGCTCTCACTTGGACTCTTGTAACAGCCTTCTCACTGGTGTCTCTATTTCTAATTTGTTCTTTGTAGCCTACCTAGCTTTCTAAAACTCTATCTAGCTGATCAGGTCATTTTCCTTAAAAAATTTTGGTAACTGCCTATAGGTTATAGTCCAGACTCCTTAGCATAGGGTTTAAGACCTTTTACAACCTGGCCTCTATCTGCTTTCCAACCTCAATCTCATACACCTTGTATTTCTACCACACCAGATTTCTCATTGTTTTCTGAAAGAAGCTGTGAGTTTGCATGCTTCTGTGCCTTTGCTTGTTCTCTTTTCTTCTGCTTGGAATGCTGCTCTTCCCTTTTTTTTAAACCTAATGAAGGCCTATTCCTTCATCAGGCCTAACTCAGATAACTCTGACAGGCACAGTTGATGGCACTTTTCTCTGAACCCACAAAGCTCTTTGATCTCAATATGTAACCCAATAAAACTGAGTTCTTACTATAGGCCAGGCACTGTTTCAGGTGTCAGGGATATTAGAGTGAACAAAGCAGACAAAATCCCTGCCCTTGTTCTAATAGGGAGAGAGAGAGGGGAAAAAATACACACACACCTGTACATGTAAAGTGATTAAGAAGTGTTCTAAAGGAAAATAATGCAAGATAGAGAGAAGGTGATGGGAGTTGGGTGCTGCTAGTTTTAGGTAGAGTAGTCAGGAAATGCCAGTGCCTCTCTGATGAGGGAACTTTTGAGGAGAGACTGGAAAGAAGTGAGGAAGCAAATGAGGGATATTTGGGGGAAGAGCTCTGCAAGCAGAAGGTACAGCAAATGCAAAAACCTGAGAAGGAGCATGCATGACTTTATTACGGAATAGCAAGATGGCTAGCTTGGCCGAATTAGAGTGAATTGATCTATGTTTTAAAAGGATTGCTCTGGCTGCTGTGTAGATGAATGAGTGAGTGAGTAAATAAGTGAGTGTGGGTTTAAGAAGTGAGTTTTTGCTGAGTAGAACTCAGTAGCCCCTGAGGGCGTGAACTTGGTGCCTTGACTTCCAGTGGGTCTCTTGACTTGGAATTTGACTGTAAGGTGGTCTCCTCTCTTCTAGGCTTGGCAGCCTGGGTGTCATGGACTACTACCTGATGGACGCTGCCTCCTTGCTGCCTGTCCTGGCCCTTGGCCTGCAGCCTGGTGACACGGTGCTTGACCTGTGTGCAGCCCCTGGGGGAAAGACACTAGCATTGCTTCAGACTGGCTGTTGTCGTAAGTCAGAGGGCTGATGTCTTGGGCAGGGAGGGCTCCCCACCTCACCCAGCCGGGGGCACCATGAATATGGTGGGCTCTTTGGTCCAAGATCAGAAGGGATAGTGCTTGCTTGCTAAGCTGGTATATTTTTTCTGTTTGTGATTATTTCCTCCCTTTCTCTGTCAGTTGGCCAGCAAAGATTGCTGAGCAGAGCAGGGTCTCAGAAGGCAGATTAAAGCAGGGCCCTGATCAATCTACCGCAGACACTTTCACTCCTCTGCATCTGTTTACTTAGTCTCTGAGATTAATTTCCATTTCCTTAGCCTGCCAGCTAAAGCGATGAGATCTGGCTGCAGCCACCCTTTATAGCTTGTAGATCTTTCTTCCTCCCGCTTTATGTGCTTCAGCCACATCCTGCTACTCTCTGGTGCCTGAATAAGCTTCCACCTTTGCTCATGTTATGCTTTCTCTCTAGAATACCCCCACCCCATCCCAGTGGGCCTATCTACATCCTTTTAGTTTTCAAGCCTTAGCTCAAGTGTGCCACCTCCTGGAAGTCTTCCCTCATGACCTCTGCTGGCCAGTTGAGAAGTGATGCCTCTGTCCCCTGTGCTCCTACACGATGGGCATCACCCTTGCAACTGTTAGCACATTAGCCTTGCACCCAAACTTTATTGGGTGTGCATCTTCTCCCTCTTCAAGACTATGAATTCCTTGGGGACAGGCCCAAGTCTTCCTCATCTCAGTAGCCTAGTCCAGCCAGGGCCTGTGCACTGTAAGTGTTTACTCCAGCATCTACTGGCCAACATCCTGCCTTATACTAGGCAGTGTTTTTTCCTTGGGGACCTGAGAAATAGCCACAAGGGGTCTGTGATTTTCACACTCACCCTGGAGCTCAGCCAGGCTTCTCTTGCCATATGCCCTGGCCTTTTTGTTGGACCTGGACTCTTCTTTTCCAGTTCTCATCAGCCAACTTGCACAGTTTGAGTTAGCTTCCACCCTCATGGTAGGCCCCATGAGTGATTCAGAGAGGTACCACATTTGATCTTAGCCGTCTGGAAATCCACAGATACTTTGATATGGCTTAATGAGTCCAATGCAAGAGAGCCCAGCCTGTGTGCTGGGCTGTGCTAATCCGATTGAGTGGTGTGGGAATCTGTCAGAAGGGGGATGAATGAGGTAGAGTTACTAGGAAGAGGAGGAACTTGAAATAAGAGTCGGGAGAAGGGCCAAGGAGAAGTAATTGAGAGTTGCTCTTCTAAGGTGTGCTGAATTACCAGCACCTCACCCTCATCCCAGCAACTCACCCAAGTGACTCCTTGATCCCATGGAGATGGGAGCACAGAATTTCAGTGCAAGAAGGGAAATTAGAGATTACCTAGTTCAGCCCTCATGTTTTATGGAGGGGGAAATTGAACTCTGGAGAGATTAAATAACTTAAAGTTTTTACACGAGTTGGAGGTGGAGCCAGAACTGGAACCCAGCTTTTCTGTTCTCAGTTCATATCCTTCTGCAAATTCTTGTTGAGCAGAAAACCCAATTTTTAGTTTTTTTTTTTAAAGATTTTATTTTTTCCGTTTTGTCCCCAAAACCCCCCGGTACATAGTTGTGTATTTTCAGTTGTGGGTCTTTCTAGTTGTGGCACGTGAGACGCTGCCTCAGCGTAGCTTGATGAGCGGTGCCACGTCTGTGCCCAGGATCCGAACTGACGAAACCCTGGGGTGCGGAAGTGGAGTGCGCAAACCTAACCACTCAGCCATGGGGCCGGCCGCTCACTTTTTAGTTCTTTGAGTGCCCTCAAGAGTTGGGACTGGGGCTGGCCCCATGGCTGAGTGGTTAAAGTTCTGCATGCTCTGCTTCAGCAGCCTGGGTTCTCAGGTTTAGATCCCGGGTGTGGACCTACTCCACTCATCAACCATGCTGTGGAGGCATCCCACATACTAAAGTAGAGGAAGATTAGCACAGATGTTAGCTCAGGGCAAGTCTTCCTCACACACAAAAAAAGGGGGAGGGGGGCGCCTGGCTAGTGGTGTAGTGGTTAGGTTTGCATGCTCTGCTTCGGCTGCTTGGGGTTTGCAGGTTTGTCTTCTTCTTTTTTTTTTTTTTGAGGAAGATTAGTCCTGAGCTAACATCTGCCACCAATCCTTCTCTTTTTGCTGAGGAAGACTGGCCCTGAGCTAACGTGTGCCCATCTTCCTCCACTTTATATGTGGGACACCTGCCACAGCGTGGCATAATGAGCAGTGTGTAGGTCCACATCCGGGATCTGAACTGGCAAATCCTGGGCTGCCGAAACAGAAGGTGTGAACTTAACCACTGTGCCACCAAGCTGGCCATGGTTTGGCTCCCAGGCACGGACCTAGCGCTGCTCATCAAGCCATGCTGTGGCGGCATCCCACATAAAGTAGAGGAAGATTGGCACAGGCGTTAGCTCAGAGACAATCTTCCTTAAGCAAAAAAGGGAATATTGGCAACAGGTATTAGCTCAGGGCCAATCTTCCTCACACACACAGAAAAAAAGAATTGGGACCATATTTCTTTGTGGGAACACTAAGCTAGTTCATAGTAGTGACCACTCCCGTTAGATAAGATATGCACTTTCTAGCTCTTCACCACAGTTTCCACCTCTCCCTTTCACTCCTTGGCTCTGAGGCCAGGTATCAAGTGCTATTTAGCATCAAGATTGCAGTAATATTTTTTCTTATAGTAGAGCCAAGAGCAAAGTGAGATATTTCTTGAACTCGTGTCTATCACAAAAGGGAAGATGAAAGACAGATGGTGAATCAGGATCGTTAGGATTAGGTTTGGTTATATATGATAGAAAACTCAACTAACTGGCTTAAAGAAGAAAAGTTTATTTCTCTCTTACATGAGAGAAGCTGGGATATAGGCAGTCCAGGGCTGGTATGGAGGCTCCACAATCATCAGGGACTTGGGTTCCTTTTTTCTTTTGGCAACCTATTTTATTGCTGGCTTCTGTCCTCAGGATTCATGGTCCAGGGTGACTGCTGGAACTCTAGTTATCACACTCAAATTCAAGGCAGGAAGAGAAGATGGGGCAAAAGAGGCACATCTAATTGTGTCAGCTTCTTTTAAACATCTTCCCAGAAGCGTCACACAATAATTCTGCCCATAACACTTGGACCAACACTTAGTCATATAGTCATACTTAGTTGTAAAAGGAGGCTAAGAAATGTAGACTTTTGGGGCACATTGCTCTCTCCTCCCCAAATAAAATTAGAGCTCCATTACTAAAGAATAAGGGGAGAATAAATTTTGGGTAAATAATGTGTAGTGTCTGCCAAAGATGAAGAGAGATACATATTTCAAGAAAAGTGCAAGAGAGTGTATTTCTTTAGAAAAAATATTCTTACCTGGTCTACTTTATTTATTTACAAAAACTTTTTGACCTGTGTAGGTGTTTGCTGTTGCAGCCCCTGCTCCAGAGTGTCTAGTACAGTGCCATGCACATAATAAAGGTTTCTCCTCCACCTGCCCCTCCCCTGCCCCAGGGTCTGCATTGATTGGCTCTGCCTGAGAAGTGGTCTGACAGTCCATCAGCGCCATTGCTAATGGGATGTTTCACTGGGCCATGGCACCTGAAGTTTCTTTATTCCCACAGGCATAAAATATCCATACTAACCAAAGCCATCCATAGATTCCATGCAATCCTTATCAAGATTCCAATGGCATTTTTTACAGAAGTAGAATAAATAATCCTAAAATTTATATTCCCACAGGCAATCTTGCTGCCAATGATCTCTCCACTTCCCGAACAGGCAGACTACAGAAGGTCCTTCACAGCTATGTACCTCAAGATATCAGGGAGAGGAATCGAGTTCGAGTTACCTCATGGGATGGCAGGAAGTGGGGAGAACTGGAGGGGGACACCTATGACCGGGTAAGTGATTCCTGACCTGGGACATCCAGCCAGCCAAATCTGGCCTCCCCATCCTGGCTCCAGGCCCTGAGCCAGTAGGATCCAACCCTACATAATTGAGTATGTAGGGCTGTTTCTGGACCTGGGCAGCTCTCCATGGGTGATTGGGAGAAAACAGTCATCTGCGGAATTATCAGTTCAGCTTAGATGACTGGCTACTGTCTTCATTAGAGACAGCAGCAAAAAGAGTTTGAACCTGATCGAGTGGAAAAAAGTTAACTTATTTTATTTCTTGACTCACTTGGTTGCTCAGAAACCCTCATTAAAATAAGTATGAATAAGCCCATTTTATTTATTTTTTAATATTAATTCAGCACATGCTGCACAATTCAGAAGGCACAAAAGGGTATCGAGTGAAAAGTACATTTCCCTCTTACTCCTGTCTCACAGCCGTCTACTTCCTCTCCCTCAAATGACCAGTGTTTGTGTTCTTCAGTAACCTTTAAAATACATCCTTTGTGTATATACAAATATAAATGTGTGTGTTTTTTATAAAAATGGGAATAGTAGTATATTATATTGACTATTCTGAACTTTGTGTTTTTTCAGTTAATAACATAACATGAGGGTCAATCATTTTTATGTTTTTTTTTTTTTAAGATTTTATTTTTTTCCTTTTTCTCCCCAAAGCCCCCAGGTACATAGTTGTATATTCTTTGTTGTGGGTCTTCTAGTTGTGGCATGTGGGACGCTGCCTCAGCGTGGTTTGATGAGCAGTGCCATGTCCGCGCCCAGGATTCGAACCAACGAAACACTGGGCCGCCTGCAGCGGAGCACGCGAACTTAACCACTCGGCCACGGGGCCAGCCCCTTTTTTATGTTTTTGAAGTATAATTGCTGGGAACAGTTTATATGCATTTAAGATTTTGGCTGAGGTCACTAAATCTCTTTCTGTGGAGGTTAAATCAGTTTCACTTCTACTGGCAACGAATAAGAGTAATGTTTCCTCACATCCTGCCATCATTGGTGTCGTCAAACTGGTTTTTGCCAAACTGGTAGCATCTAATTTGTATTCTCTTATTGTGAATGATGTTGAAAGTCATTTCATATTTTCAGGTAATCTGTATTTTCTTTTAATTGGCATATTCTAAAAATATTTATTTAAAACATATACTTCTTTTTTTTAAAATTTTTTTCCTTTTTCTCCCCAAAGCCCCCCAGTACATAGTTGTATATTCTTCGTTGTGGGTCGTTCTAGTTGTGGCATGTGGGATGCTGCCTCAGTGTGGTTTGATGAGCAGTGCCATGTCCGCGCCCAGGATTCGAACCAACGAAACACTGGGCCACATGCAGTGGAGCGTGGGAACTTCACCACTCGGCCACGGGGCCAGCCCCTAAAAAAGATACTTCTAAAAAATATGTAACTATTGTCTCTGTGTTGTCATCTAGCTCGTTTATCTAATGTGTCCAGTTCTCACCACCCTGCCTCAACCAGTCTGAGAAATTGAAAGACCAAGGCTTATAGAATCTTAGGTAGGCTTAGGAGATGTGCCTCCTGCCTGTGTGAGAATCCTCTATTCGGCTTTTTTTACTTGGAGTCAGCAGAACAGAGTGGAGAGAGCATGACCTCTGCTGTCAGCCTAACCTGTTTCTCTGTCACAGGGCTGCCACTTACTGACCTTGGAAAAGCTGCTTGATCTCTCTGAACTTCAACTTCTTCATTTGTAAAACAGGGAGTATTACTATGTAGGATTATTATGAGGATTCAATGGGAATGTCCCGGGAAAGTGCTTAGCACATCACCTGGCCATGAAGATTAGGCAGGTAGTAGCCATCATTGTCACTCAGCCTGTTCTTGCACACTTCCATTGACAGGGGCTCACTGAGGTTCTGTGGTTGGACAGGTTTGATGTTAGGAAGTTCTTCCTCTTATTGAATTAAAATCTGTAGATGGGGGCTGGCCCCGTGGCCAAGTGGTTAAGTTCGCGTGCTCCACTTCGGCGGCCCAGGGTTTCACCAGTTCAGATCCTGGGCGCGGACATGGCACAGCTCATCAGGCCATGCTGAGGCAGCATGCTCCATGCCACAACAAGAAGGACCCACAACTAAAACATACAGCTATGTACCAGGGGTCTTTGGGGAGAAGAAGAGAAAAAAAGAAAAAAAAATCTGTAGATTGTATGGTCTATGGTTGAGTACAAGGATTTTGGAGTCAGACTGCTTGGATTGGAGTCCTGACTTCATCACTTACCAGCTAGAGAAGTTTGGGTAAGCTAACCTTTCAGTTAAGCTTCAGCTTCTTCATCTGTAAAATGAGGATTGCAGTGCCTATCCCATAGGTGAAGATTAAATAAGAATGCGTTTAGCACAGTTGCTGGCATATAGAAAGCGTTTAATAATATTATCATCATCACAATCCTTATTATTTCCATTCACTGATCCTAGCTATGCCTTCTGGAACAATATAGAATGAGCTGCCTCCCGTTTCACTTGAAAGTGCTTCAGACATTTGAAAACAGTTTTAATGTCCTGAATATGTCATGATTAATTTATTTGTTGAACAAATAGTTATGTACAACATACTATGTGTTAGGCAAGTGTTAAGCACTTTAGATGCAAAGAAGAATGCTATTTCAGGGCTCCACACACTCTTGATAACTCCTTCCCTCCGCCAACTCTTCCTGGCCATCAGCTGGAGTGAGGACAGGACTCCAGAGCTCTGTGTGTTCCTGGCAAGACACCTACTCCCCTTCCCGCTCACAGCTTTCTTTCTGGGTGCATTGTGGTTATAACTTTGCCTATCCCTTTATATTTAGCCTTGTTGAATCACCTCCTTTCGGATGTGTCTCTTATATACTGCATAGAGTTTGGTTTCACTTTGTGAACCAATCTGTAAATTTTATTCTTTTAAAACAATTGATGCCACTGATACATATGGTGTCAGCTCTGTCAAATTATTTTACTGTGTTTATTTTACTCTGATCTCTCTTCTTTGCTTCTTTGGTTTTCTTTCCACTTCTATTGTTATTTAGGTAGGTTTATATTTTAATTTTACATTAGGTAATTTCAATATCAAAACTGTTTGAGGGTTTAATTCTACTGGTTGTAGTTTCTGCTAACTCTTGCTCAAGGAAGCTTATTTCTTTCTAAATTTTGTGGTTATTTTGGTTACCTGTCATAATTTTCTGACAACTTTTCTATTGGAGTATAACACAAAAGGGATCAAATTGTAAGTATACTTCTTAAGGAATTATAGTGAAATACACTTATGTTATCATCACCTTTTCAAAGAAATGTATTACCAGTGTCCCAGAAATTCTCTTATGCCCGTTTCTACCCTCCTAGAGGTGATCACTATTTGACTTTGGAAACCATAGATGTTTTGAGCTCTATCTAAATGTGATCATACAGTCTGTGCTCTTGTCTGACTTTTTTTGTTCAACATTACGTTTGTGAGATTCATCCATGCTGCTGCCTGTAGCTGTGGTTTGTTCACTGTTGTGGCTGTGTTACATCCCATGGTGCGCATATATGACAATATTCTATTTGTCCCTTCTTTTGTAATAGACGATGGGGTTGTTTCCAGTTTGGGGCTATTACAAGGAACATTGCTGTGAACATTCTTGAAAATGTTTTCTTGGTTCACTGCTGTACCCATTTCTGCTGAATTGCTGGGTAATGGAGTATGTATATGTTTGGCTTTAGTCAATACTGTCAAACAGTTTTCTAAGTGATTGTGCCAGTTTACGTTCCTCCCTACACAATATGAGAATTCCAGTTGTTCCACAACCTCATCAACATGTACTGTTTTTTCCCCATTTAACCTGTGTAATGGTGTGTAATGGTGGTTTTAATTTTCATTTCACTGGTAACTAATGAATTTGGACACCTTTTCTTGCATTTATTGGCCATTCTTTTTGAAGTGAGAATTCAAGTATTTTGCCCATTTTTTCTGTTGTCTGTTTTTTTCTTATTGATGTATAAGAGTTCTTTATGTATTCTGAATATGAGTCCTTTATTGAATCTATGTATTGTGAGAATGTCTTCTTCCACTCTGTGACTTATCTTTTCACCCTCCTAATGGTAAACAGAAGTTCTTAATTTTAATGCGGTCTAATTTATCATTATGGTTAGTGCTTTGGGGTCTTATTTAAGATACCTTTGCCTACCTAAGGTAATGAAGATATTCTTCTGTTATCTTCTAGAGACATTTTTATTTTATTTTTCCCACCTAGATTTTCAATCCATTTGAAACTGATTTTTACATAGAGCGAACAAAGTAAGGATGCCAAAAATGGTATCTGATTGGCACAGTATCAATCATTGACAAGATTATTCATTTCCCACTGCTCTGCCATATCACTTTTGTCATAAATCAAATATCCATATATGTGTGAGTCTGTTTCTGGACTCTGTTCTGTTTATTGGCCCATTTGTCTTTATTTTCAAGAAACTATACTGTTTTAATTGCTATAGCTTTATAATAAGTTTTGATGTCTGGTATAGTAAATCCTCCAACTTTGTTTATCTTCAGATTTCTCTTGGCTATTCCTGGTCCTTTGCATTTTCATAAATTTTAGAATCAGTTTGTTAATTTGCACAACAGAATCATCAGGGCTTTGTCCAGGGGTTACACTGAATCTGAAGAACAAATTTGAAAGATAATTTCGCTGGACATAGAATTCTATGTTGGCAATTGTTTTCTTTCAGCATTTTGAAGATTTTATTTCATTTCTTTTACTATTCATTGTTTCTTTTGAAAAGTCAGCTATAAATCTTATTAAAATTCTTCTAAAGGTGTGTCTGGCTGCACACCCAGTTGTGCAAGCAGTGTGGGATAGGTTGTGGAGAGACTGAAGAAAAGATCCAGAGATGGCATATGAGACATAAAGGTTTATTGGGTCTTACTTATGGGGAATGTCCAGGAGCTGCTGGCTGGATGGAGTTGTGCACCTACACCTGCTACTGTGAACAGAGAGGGGTTTGCTTATCTGAGCAGGGGAACAAAGGCTACATACTTGCCAAGAGGGGCTGTCCTCACATGACAGCATTCCAAGGCCGGGTAGCTCTCATGGAAGGGCTCGGTGTTCCTCCAAGAGGTGGTGTTCTTTGCGAAGTCCCTAGATTGTTACAATACCAAGATGGTTTGCGGCATGCCCAGAACGGGGCCAGAAGGACACATGGTTATGATAGGGCACGTAGGCTAGTGCCCTTACAAGGGGATATATATATTTCCTGCTTTGGGTTTATAGTGCTTCTTGAATCTGTGGCTTGATTTTCTCATCAGTTTTAGAAAATTTTCACCTGTTATCTCTTTATGTATTTTCTCTGCCTCGGTTTTTCTCACTTATGATTTTGGGACCCTAATTAGATGTATGTTAGGCTTTTTCACTGTGTCCCATATATATTTTATATTCTTTTATATTCTTCTCTCCTTTTTTCCTCTTATAATTCAATCTGAATATTTATTTTGACCTGATTCACCAGTCCTTTCTTCAGCTGTGTCTAATATGCTATTAAACATGTCTTTTGAGTTGTTATTTTATTTTTTTTTTTGAGGAAGATTGGCCCTGGGCTAACATCCACCACCAATCCTCCTCTTTTTTGCTGAGGAAGATTGGCCCTGAAGTAAATTTGTGCTCTTCTTCCTCTATTTTATGTGTGGAACACCTGCCACAGCGTGGCTTGATAAGCAGTGCATAGGTCCACGCCTGGGATCTGAGCTGGCGAACCCCGGGCCACCGAAGCGGAACGTGTAACCTTAACCACTATGCCATTGGTCTTTTTTAAAATTGAGATATAATTGACATATAACATTGTATAGTTTTAGGTGTTCATCATTAAACATAATTATTTGATACATGTATACATTGTGAAATGATTATCACGATAAGTCTAACATCCATCACCACACACACTTACAGATTTCTTGGATGACAACTTTTGAGATTTATTCTCTTAGCAACTTTCAACTGTATGATACAATATTGTTAACTGTACCACCATGCTGTACATTACATCCCAGGATTTATTTATTTTATAACTGGAAGTTTGTACCTTTTGACCACCTTCACCCGTTTCACCCACTTCAACCCCCCACCCCTAGCAACCGCCAGTTTGTTCTCTGTATCTATGAGTTCATTATTTTTTTTTTTTTGATTCCACATATAGGTAAGATCATACAGTATTTGTCTTTCTCTGTCTTATTTCATTTAGCATAATGCCCTTAAGGTCCATCCATGTCACAAATGGCAGGATTTCCTTCTTTTTAATGACTGAATAATATTCCAGTATGTATGTATGTGTGAGTGTGTGTGCACACATGTGCACGTGCCACATTTCTTCATCCATTCATCTGTTGATGGACACTTAGGTTGCTTCCATGTCTTGACTGTTGTAAATAATGCTGCAATGAACAAGAGGGTGCAGATATCTTTTCAAGTTAGTCTTTTCATTTTCTTTGGATAAATTCTCAGATGTGGAATTGCTGGATCATATGGGAGTTCTATTTTTAAATTTTTTTGGAATCGCCATACTGTTTTTCATGATGGTGGCACCAATTTACATTTCTACCACATCTATTGGGTTCTTAATTTTAGTTATTATGTTTTCCATTTTTAGAATTTCCATCTGATTCTTTTTATAAAAAATTCCAGTTCTGTTGAAATTGGAAACTATAAAATTTTCTGTTGGGGCCAGCCCCACGGCCGAGTGGTTAAGTTCGTGCACTCTGCTTCGGCAGCCTGGGGTTTCACCGGTTCAGATCCTGGGCACCGACATGGCACCGCTCATCAAGCCATGCTAAGGTGGTGTCCCACATAGCACAACCAGAAGAACCTACAACTAGAATATCCAGCTATGTACTGGGGGGCTTTGGGGAGAAGAAGAAGAAGAAAAAAAGAAGATTGGCAATAGATGTTAGCTCAGATGCCAATCTTAAAAAAAAGGAAAAAAATTTTGTGTCTTTTCATCTAACTTTTTTTTTTGCTGAGGAAGATTTGCCCTGAGCTAACATCTGTTGCCAATCTTCCCCTTTTTTCGCTTGAGTAAGATTAGCCCTGAGCTAACATCTGTGCCATTCTTCCTGTATTTTGTATATGGGTTGTTGCCACACATGGCTGATTAGTAGTGTAGGTCCACACCCAGGATCTGAACCCATGAACCTGGGTCACTGAAGCACAGCATGCCAAACTTAACCACTACTCTCCATGGGGCTAGCCCATCATCTAACTTCTTGAACATGTTAATCATGATCGTTTCAAAAACTATGATAATTTGAATATCTGGATCTCATATGAGTCAGCTTCTGTCATCTGTTTTTTTCTCTTGGTTTTTGGTTATTTGATTTTGTCTTCTGGTGTTTGTAGTATTTTTTGCTTGAATGCCAGGCATTTTGTGTGAAAATTGTAGGGATAATCTGAGGCTCTAGATGGTGACATCTTTCTCTAGAAAGGATTTGATTTTCCATCAGGCTGACAGTTAATATCAGAGCAGATCGTCTTAATTCAGTCAGAAATTAGTCTGATTCCAAGCTGGAGTTTGTGAGGGCTGTTCTCTTTGCAGTTTACCTCTACACCTAGGGTATTAAATTTCAGGGCTGCAACTCAAGGCATGATGTGTTTGTTTACCAGGACCCTCTGCTCTTTGGTGTGGACTCTGGACTCCAGTTTTTGTTCCCTCAGCCCCATAGGATTGCTGAAAGTTCTCTTGGTTTGCAACAAGCTATTCTGCCTTTACTAGAAGTGGAAAAATCTGATTTTGTTTATTGTCAGCTTAGAATCCTTGCCTGGTTAATTATAAGAGCCCTGTTTTGAGGGCTAATCTGCATTCCTCCAGAAAGAAACCTGCTTTTGCCAGTTGTTTGGGGGATCTGTCAACCCAGGACAATTAATTACCCTCTAGGGGGTTTTCTGGGTCATGCAGGCATTATGAGTTTGAACCGTCTACTTGACTGGTTACACATTCTCAGGGAGACTTCCTTCTTTTTCTCTTTTTGCCCAGAGTTAAAGCCAAAGCAGACAAGTTCTCTTTTTGTCTTCTATTGTGGGCTGAGGCTTTTTTTTCCTACTTCACTCTTTGATTGAAAATGAAGCCCTTTGAGGATTTTGGCTTTGCTATGGATTTCCATTCCAGTCTCTACCTCAGGTGGGCCCAGTGCCCTGTTTTCTGTCCACCAAGGCTTTGGGTTATCAGGGGTTGGTAAAAGATAGAAGCCATCAACTCAGCTCCAGCATGCCTCCCTAGATTTGTGCTCTTAGTTTTTCTTTGGCTTCTGAGGATTTCTCTAATTTTCTGTGAGCTGTGCATTTAAAAGTATTTTTGAAAAATATTTTATCCAGCCTTTTTAGGTATTTTGTACTCCAAGGGTTTTCAGGATATCTAATTTACTACATTGCTGGAGATAGAGGTGTTAATTTCTTCTGGGATGTGGTTTCTAAACATCCCACAGGCCCTTCTCTGGGCATCCCTATTTAGTTACTGTCTCTTTTTCCTGTGAAGGCCAGCCCCATCATAGCTCTTGAGATGTGACCTGATCAGAATACAAGGTAATCATTATTTCTCTTACTCTGCATGCACTGTGTCAATTCATGCAGCCTAGGAATATATCAGAAAATTGAACATTGGGTCATTATTAATTTACTCTTGAGTTTTTGCTTAACTAAAAATTCACAGATCTTTTCCATAAATGATTTTACTTTTTAAAAACATAACTATAGGATTTTATTTTTAATTTTTGTTTTTGTCTCTAGTGCCTAGCACCCAGTAGGCTCTTAGTAAATGAATGAATGATTTTACATTTCTCACCTTAAAGCTTTTCCATATTGGATATGACATCGTTTCAACATAAGATAATTTTGAATCCTGATCCTCTTATTCAGTATATTGGCTACCCTCTGAGCATTGTATCATCTGTAAATTGGATGTTTTCATTCAAATAGCTAATGACAGAACCAAGGACAGAACCTTGAAGCACTAAAGACTTCTTCCTAGGCTGATATCAATTATTTAATTATAGTTATATGTGTGTTGATGGCTTTTTGACCAGCCCTGAGTATATCTAAATATACGATTTTCCCACTTATTATTCCACAGTTGTCTACCAGGTTAAAATGAGAAGCTTCGTCCGGTACTCTGCAATGGGAAGATGGACAGAGGGAGCACTCCACAAAACTTCCCAAGCCAGGGGCCTAAAACAGCCCTGGCCTAAGGAAGAGGAGCCTGTAAGGAGCTCTGATATTTTACCCTTTAACACTCTGGGCAGGTGCTGGTGGATGTGCCCTGTACCGTGGACCGCCACTCCCTTCATGAGGAGGAGAACAACATCTTTCAGCGATCGAGGAAGAAGGAGCGGCAGATGTTGCCTATGCTGCAGATGCAGCTTCTCGCGTGAGTGATAGATTTACAAAAACTCAGGATTTTAGACCAGAGTGTTCCGGGTGTCTGGTCGCCTGGGGGACTGGAAGCTCTTACCAAGACCATCAGCTATAGAAGGGTTTTCTGGCTGGGGATCTGCCTGGAGGAGACAGACATCATGGGTTGGTCTTCTCTGGAACATAAAAACCCTATGCGGTAGGACATACATAGCAGGTGAGCTGCACAGATTCACTTATGCTATCCTACCCCCATGCTAGTCCAAGTACCACTGAGTAGTACAAGTTTGAAAAATAGTTATTGAGGTCAAGGCTCTGTAGGGCTGGGGTAAGGACTCAGTCCATAGCCAGCATCAGGGTTTGGTCCATAACCAGAGTCAGAGCTCAGGAGATCATTTCAAGAATACTTCCTGGAGAGAGCCCATGGAGTAAGGTTGGGTTGTTCTCTGCTTTGAGAATGACTTTTCAGGCACTGTCATTGTGGAAGGGACTTCAGAGGCTGTCTAACGCAACTACCCATCCCACAGTAGACTTCTCCATGCTTCCAGCTGCTTCTGTTGCCCTCCTACTGCTGGGAAGCTCACTAGTCACTGCTTCTCTCTCATTCTGGTTTCAGGGCTGGACTCCTTGCCACCAAACCAGGAGGCCACGTTGTCTATTCTACCTGCTCACTCTCACACTTACAGAACGAGTATGTGGTACAAGGCACCGTTGAGTTCCTGGCCAATCAGTACAGCATCCACGTTCAGGTGGAAGACCTGACTCACTTCCGAAAGCTTTTCATGGACACATTCTTTTTCTTCCCCTCCTGCCAGGTTGGAGAGCTGGTAATCCCAAACCTCATGGCCAATTTTGGGCCTATGTACTTTTGCAAAATGTGTAGGCTGACGTAGCCTTACCCCATTCCTGAAGCCCTGGTGTAGGAAGACAAAGAGTGTACCCCCATGGAAGCACCAGAATCTCAGACCAGAGGCAAAGATGCGCTCTGGGTCCTGTCTTCATCCTGTTCAAGTCTTTCTATAGACAGTTTTCAGCAGTCGAAAGTAGGAGTTTTTCAGTCCTGCTGTCCAATTGTGGAGCATCAGCAGGTTTCTAACTTATTACACCTCATCCCAACACCCCATCACCAAGCCTGTGCTAAAGTTTCCTGCCCCATTGGGGGCTTAGGAGGAGGAGCCAGTGAGCTGGCCTACACTTTAAGCTGTAAACTTGGGAAGAAGCATTTAGCCAATAAAATTGTTGAAGCTCCATAGAGCTGGGGCTGAAGTTGAGGGCCTCATGTCAGTCAAAGTGCTGTTAGTTCTGTTTGTACCAGCTACTGCTACTGAGCACCAGTTCCTAGGTGCCCAAAGCCCCGGACCTCAGCCTGGTTACAGGCCTCTGGTTACAGAGCCCTTCTTACACTTGAGGCAAGTTCTGCGTGGTCAGTCTTGAGCCCAGTGGGCCCAAACAAGCCTACCTAGTTTCTCCATATGGCTCATGATCTAATTTAAGGAATGAGTAACTAAAAATGTTAAGCCAATGCGTAATAATCTCCTTACTTACATCAAGAGAGCTCTCCTGAGCTGGATAATTCCACCATTCCTCCTGCTCTCTACAGCACTGCTGCCTAAATGTGGCTGGGGAAGCTGCTCTGCCCCAGGGCTGCGATGTTCTCTTGTGTGTTCCTTCCATTGTTCATTCCTCCAGCAGGTATACCTTGAGCTCCTATCTCACAGGTAGCCAGAGAGCTGCTGGAGTTGTAGCAGTTGGGATCGTGGGAGATAATAAGACCTCATCCTTTGGAATGGCAGCTCTCCTCCTTTGGCTCTCTGAGCACTTAGGAATCTCCTGATGTCTTGTTATATTCTACTTTTTGTTTTGTTTTGTTTTTTCTCATTCCTGGTGTGTAACTGAGCTCTGGCTCCAGTTCTTCGGCCCATCCCTAATCCCTCAGGGCTCTTCCCGCAGCGTCACAAGGCCTTACCTCACACCGTGTTTGGGGCGACATTACATCATTTACTGACTGTATGCTAGTTGTGTTGTTTTTGTGACTTTAGCATGAAGAAGGCAATACTTTAATGGCAGGGATATTAAAAATTGCTTATGGTCACTTGCAGATATTGCTTTTTTTTTTATTAAAATTTTTTTTCTGGGGACGGCCCCAGGGCCAAGTGGTTAAGTTCGTGCACTTTGCTTCAGTGGCGTGGGGTTTCATCAGTTCGGATCCTGGGTGTGGACATGGCACCGCTCATCAGGCCATGCTGAGGCAGCGTCCCACATAGCACAACCAGAAGGATTTACAACTAGAATATACAACTATGTACTGGGGGGCTTTGGGGAGAAGAAGCATGAAAAAAAAAAAAAGAGAGAAGATTGACAACAGATGTTACCTCAGGTGCCAATCTTTAAAAAAAAAAAATTTTTTTTTTCTTGGGACAGCCTGGTGGCATAGTGGTTAAGTTCATGTGCTCCACTTCAGCTGTCCACGGTTCGCAGGTTTGGATCCTGGATGTGGACTTACACACCGCTCATCAAGCCATGCTGTGGCAGCGTCCCACATACAAAGTAGAGGAAGATTGGCATAGGTGTTAGCTCAGGGACAATCTTCCTCACAAAAAAAAAAAAAAAAAAAAAATCTGAAAAACTGGTTCTTGTGCATAAAAGGGTTCTTCCCTCTTTCCTTATCCCTCCTCTTCCTCATCCCTCCTCTTCCTCTTTCTGTCACTCCCTTTGTTCCTTATGCCTTTCCTGCTAATCCTTGTTTGCATATTACAGGTGTCAGCTGAGAAGGATTTTAGATAAGGTTAAGCCTTCTTCTTTCTTAGGATTTGCCTTGTAACTGAGGGCCCTTGAAGACCTTCCAGGCTCAAAATAGAGTGAAGGTGAGCGGATAGAGCTCCAGGGAGTAGGACCCTAATTAGCCTCCGTGTGTTGTATGTGATCTCTGCCTGCTGTTTATTCTGCACTCAGTATTTGCTGAGGCTGGGAGGTCTCAGGTGCTTGGGCATCCAGCCTGGTGCTAATTGAATGCTAAGCAGTGATAATTCAAGAGGGGGTCTCCTGCCCCTGGGGTCCTAGTCTAATGGGGACAGACAGACCCAGTTAAGAAAAACAGAGATCTGCTTTGGAAAACACTTTTATTATCTCCTGTAATTGAACATTTACCTAACCTACAGCCCAGTTATTCCAATACTAGGGGCAAATCAAAGAGGAACTCATACATGTACACTAAGAGACATGTACAAGAATGTTCATAGCAGCCTTGGTCACAAAAGCAAACCCAAATGTCCATGAGCAAGAGAGTGGACAAATAAACTGAAATATTCACACAATGGAATATTATACTGGTGTCAAAACAAATGAGCTACAGTGATATATAACAATATGGATGAATCTTAGCAATAAAATATTAATTGAAGTTTAGTCTCAGAATATTAAATGTAGCATGATGTCTTTTTTTTAAAAAAGAAACAGCTTTTGTCTTTTTTATGTTATTTACATACAATATAATTTATCACTTTTAAGTGTACTGTTTAATGAATTTTGATAATTGTCAGATAGTATTATCACTGTCACCATCAAAATATAGAAGAAAATTCCATCTCCTAAAAAGTTCCCTTGTGCTCCTTTGCACAATTCCCTTTGCCCCTCCCTGGTCCCAGGTAGTCACTGATCTGCTTTCTGTCACTATGGTTTTGCCTCTTCTAGAGTTTCATATTGTGGGAGATAGAGTTGATTTACAGCTGCATTGCGAAAGCTCTGTCTTTATCTGGATGTCTTGTTTTTCACTCTTGGCCAAGGTAAGGGCATTGGGATTCCTAATGTGCCACTTAAAGTGACTCCCAGGGTTGCTTTCTTTACTGATGGTTTACAACTGGCCTAACCGGTGTTGGTTATGTGGCCAGAATAGCATAAAAACTCTGCCTGGAACTTCTAACTTGAGCTCTCCCAAAGCCAAGATTCCTCACACAAATCATGGTGATGCCATCCGAAGATAGAGCACTTTGCTTCACATCCTTGATGACGCTTGGTATTCTAAGTTTTAAACTTTGTTCTAGTTGGTGTGTTTTGATGTCTCATTGTGGTTTTATTTATTTATTTATTGCTGAGGAAGATTCACCCTGAGCTAACATCTGTGCCAATCTTCCTCTATTTTGTATGTGGGTTGCCGCCACAGCATAGCCACTGATGAGTGGTGTAGGTCCACACCCGGGAACCAAACCTGGGCCGGCAAAGCAGAGTACACCAAACTTAACTACTAGACCACTGAGCCAGGCCACCTCATTGTGGTTTTAATTTGCATTTCTCTGATGACTAGTGATGTTATAAAGTTAAATACAACTAAGAATTTTAAAACATTTTTAAAGAACATATGTGCAGTAAAACTATGTAAAAAGGGAAGAATGGTTCTCGCTGTGGGATTCAGGATGATGTTTCCCACAGGGAGAGGGATAAGATGGGGCTGGAGGGAGCATAGAGTTAGATTAGGTTATTGTCAAGGTTCTGGCTTTCATATTTGGTGTTTCTTACATTGTCAAAACAACTAAATTAGTGAAAAGTTGTGCTTAAAAGTGTGTTGTGGGGGCTGGCCCAGTGGCACAGCAGTTAAGTGTGCACGTTCCGCTTCAGTGGCCCAGGGTTTGCCGGTTCAAATCCCAGGCTTGAACATGGCACCGCTTGGCCAGCCATGCTGTGGTAGGCGTCCCATATATAAAGTAGAGGAAGATGGGCACGGATGTTAGCTCAGGGCCAGTCTTCCTCAGCAAAAACGAGGATTGGCAGCAGTTGGCTCAGGGCCAGTCTTTCTCAAAAAAAAAAGTATGTTGTGCATGATAAAATTGTATCGTGAACAAGGATTATGCTTAGTCTAATTCTGTGCACCTGATGTCCAAGAAAAGAGAGGAGGGGGTAGAGAATGAAGAGTATAACTGTAGAGTATAACTGTGCTAAATGTGGCTTGATGTGGGCTGTGGGAGGGGCCATATCTAGAGAGCTGCCCCAGACTTGCTCCTGCGTTCTCTTTCCTTGTGATCTACAACAGCCCATCGTTGGCAGAGGACCAGGTGTTGAGGCAGCCATGGGTCATGGTAGGGAGACAGCTTGGGTCCGTGGTTTTTACCTTATGGGGAGTCACAAATTGTTGGAGAGTCTGGTAAAAGCTTTGGCTTTTCTCAGGAAAAAAATAAAACACCACATTTTACACATAATCTCAGTGGTTTGAACACTCCCTAAAGCCAATCTGTAAACCCCAAGTTAAAAACCTTTGGATTAGAAAGTCTCAGAATTTGAGGGTCTTGGGGCCAGCCCGGTGGTGCAGTGGTTAAGTTCACACGTCCTGCTTCTCGGCGGCCCGGGGTTGGCAGGTTCGAATCCTGGGTGTGGACATGGCACTGCATGGCACGCCATGCTGTGGTAGGCGTCCCACATATAAAGTAGAGGAAGATGGACACGCATGTTAGCTCAGGGCCAGGCTTCCTCAGCAAAAAAAAAGAGGAGGATTGACAGCAGATGTTAGTTCACAGCTAATCTTCCTCAAAAATAAATTAATTAATTAATTAATGGGCTGGCCCTGTGGCTGAGTGGTGAAGTTCGCGCACTCCGCTGCAGGCGGCCCAGTGTTTCGTTGGTTTGAATCCTGAGCGCAGACATGGCACTGCTCGTCAAACCACACTGAGGCAGCGTCCCACATGCCACAACTAGAAGGACCCACAACGAAGAATATACAACTATGTACTGGGGGGCTTTGGGGAGAAAAAGGAAAAAAAAAAAAAAACTTTAAATAAAAAAAAAAGAATTTGAGGGTCTTTAGAGGAAGCCAAGGGGGCAAGCAGAGCCCCCAGGCCAACTCAAGTCCCCACTCCCTCCCCTGCCCACCTGCTCTTCTTCCCTGCTGCATTCCTCATCTCCAAACACAGCGCCACCGTCCACCCTGCTGCCCAAGCCAGAAACCACAGTGGCTTCTGATGCCTATGTAATAATAGCAGTGACAGGAGTCACTTCTGCATATCGAACGCTTACCTGAGGCAGGCCCATGCTGAGCATTGTTTTACACGCAGCATTTTTCCTTGTCCTCAAAACCCCCTGAGAGATAGGTACTCTTTTAGTTCTATTTTATAGATAAGGAAATGCACTTAGACCACTTACGTAACTTCCAAAAAGTTACATACAATCTGAAATTTCTTTCTTGAAATATCTCTTGTATCTTAGGTCAGGCCTTATTTCTCACAGAACAATAACAGTAGCCTGAAAATTGATTCCTAGGACTCTAACCAGTCCTAAATCCTTCCGTTCTCCCCACCCTCTCATGCCACCTGTTATCTGTTATGTGGTAGCTGACCACAGTAATTCTTCCTATCCCGTCCCAATGCAGTGTGACTTTTGCCATTCCTTCATCAAGAAACAGTCTGGTTTCCCACCCTTTGAACCTGGGCTGACCTTATGATTTGCTTTGACTGGTTAAATTTGGTGGAAGGAACATTGTGTAAGTTCTAAGCTTGGAGCTCAAGAAACCTTGCAGCTTCCGCTCTCTCCCTGGAACTCTTTTACTGCCATGTGAAGCAGCTCACGTTAGCCTGTTGGATGCATGTGATGGACACCATATCAGACCTTCCAACCTCAGTGAAGTGGTCAAATGACCCAGCCTGCATGCATGACCCAGTCAAAACCAGCCTAAGCTGCTGACCCTCGAATCATGAGCAAATAAAATGGTTGTTTTAAGCCATTAAATTTTGAGGGTGGTTGGTTTCATAGCAATAAGTAACTGACGCATGTTAAAAGCCCAAATCTGATAGCATCATTCACCTATTTATAATCTTTTGTTCTCTCTTTGTTGTCTGCAGGATCAAGTCTAAACTCTGCCCTGGCCCCTGGTTATTGATTCTTTTCCATCTCTGCCATTCCCCACTGCTCTCTTCTCTCACAGATTCTTTGTCTATCCCAAGTGTAACGTGCCCCACTGATGCCTGTGTGTCATGACACGTGGTCTTTTCTGTCTAAATGCCCTGTTCTCTCGGCTCTTCTTGCTAGCCCAAATTTCCCTTCTGAGAAGCCTTCCCCGATCCTTCTAAAGCAGACTGAGTTGCCCTCTTCTATGCTTCCCCAACCCTCCGTGTGTAA